TGTGCAGCCGCTCGCCTTCCTCCTCGCTGGTGACCAGGCTGCCTTCAGGGGAGTCCGGGCACATGCTTTCCTCTTTCATCTTCTCGGCACCTTGAGGGTGAAGGGCTCTGGGGGTCTCACGAGATGTGATGGCCGCAGCGCATGGGCAAGGCGGCCTGGAGAGGAGCCAGAGCCCGCTCAAGAGGTGCTGCCTGGAGCATCCACCCTTCAGCCTCCCCAAACTTACCAAGCCTTGCAGAGCCCTCCAAGGAGCTCGGTTGGTTTTTCCTTTGGGCTACGGAGAGGAGGGCGTTCGGATAACTTTGGGGAATGGCTCTTGCTGATAGGGCGAGGAGAACTGTGGGCGGACCAGGCACAGACCAATGCAGCCGTGCAAGGTAACGCAAACATCAGTGGAGCTTATGGGTTCCAGATTTCCTCCCTCCCTCCTCCACCGACACCCCCAAGCCCTCCGGCGCAGATGCTCCTGCCTGCTGCCCGGATGTCAGGGGACATTGCCTATGCTAATGTGAGCACCAGCCATGGAGTTCAGGGGAGGCTTTTTTGATTTTTAGTCTTCTTTCTTAAATTTTTTTAAGCCCTGTTGACCCTGCAAAAGCCAGCCAGAAGTATTCACTTGTCCATTTTGGAATAGGAGACTTTTACCTATGAGAGATTCAAGTGGAAATGTAAAGCAATGGATGTTTCAATGCATGACACAGGGTATTCTCTGAGTCCAAAGGAAGAAGCAACAATGCTAGGCATCCATACTGCTCTTAAGAAATGGCATTATTCCAAATTACATTGAGTTTGAGATGGATCCATCCATCCATCCATCCATCCATCCATCCATCTCTCTTCCTCTGTCTACATTTTCTGACAGCCCTTATTATACAGATGGAAGGAAGCCAATACTCATCCACTGTCATATTTGTCTCAAATAAATGTGGCAGCTATTGCAGACAGGGAGAGTGCAGCAGGTCCAGACCCTGTTCCTGGTTGGATCCACAGCCAGTTCAGCCCCTGATTTCCCGAGGTAATCAAACACTATGAGCCGTATCACTCCCTTACACTGCTCCTGAGCTTGCCTGCAAATAAACCCACCTTCTCCTCCCTGCAGAAATGCTGGGAGAGCAGCGTCCTCTTTTAGCCAAGGTTGAAGGTCCAGATTCAGACCACGAAGCCATAAAAAATATTCTACACAGGTCCCGCCTTATATTAGATAGTTTTCAGCCCTCTGTTATCACACCAGTAGAATCAGCACATAAAACTGGAGTCCACTGGTGTCCCACCATCCTCCCACGTCTAACCACCCACTCCCAAAGAGCTCCTACACCTTTGGGGACCCCAATAACCTTCCCATCTCCTGCCTGTGCCCTCTGCCTCTCCAAGGTGATTCTTCTCCAGTGTGTCTTGACCTCATCCAAGCTGTCTCTGCTCATCACACTCTCCTGGCGTTGCTCCCTTCTCTTGGTCATTGGGAACTTTCACCCTGAGTCTCTTTGGAGGGACATGGACGTCCTGGCACGATGCTCCTTGGGGATATTGGGATCCAGCCCCAGCAGAGCTCCATCGCCCTTGCTACAGCCTTGCTTTGTTATTCTGTCTTGTAAGGAGAGCACAAAGGAGTATTATGGGAACAATATGGTTTAATGCAATATCAGTAACTCATCAAAATAATTAAAATCATATCAATAAACCATAAATTGTTGAGTTGACATATACTTGTTTCTGAATAAATATTTTTAAATTAGCTCCTTTTTACAACACCTAACAAGTTCCCATATACAATATATTTTACTAAAAGAAATATATAACGTACTACCAAGTTCTCCTACACCGATGAGCCTGCACCACACTGCAGTGATCCTCACCAACCCCCAGACTGGCAGTGACGGGGACGCGGCAACTCAGGCTGAGCATGGCCAGGAGTCGCAGGAGAAACTCCTTTAAAAGGCAACAACCTTTTTTTCTTTTCCCTTGTCTTGCTGCATATAACAAATTAATATTCTCAGCTTGTCAGTATTATCTTCGTCCTGAATAACCTGTACTGTTGTACTGCAGTCTTCTCTTGAACCTCTCTCCGTTCGAGAACCTCTGCCCCGCTCCCCACAGCCTGAAGAGGAGAGGATGTCCTCTTTGCTCTATGAGGTGGGGCTGAACAAGAGCAAGCGACTTGGCCAACTTAGGTCAAGCAAGCTACACCCATTTCTAGCAGAAAAAAACTCAATTCAAGCTCAGCTACAAGGTATTTGTTAAAAACATGCTCCATAGACCTGTTAAGCATCTGTAGCCTTGCTGACCAGACACACGTCCCGTTGTCCATCAGTGCTCACAGAAAAACACTTCCCAAAAAAAAAACCCTAATTACCCCCACCCGCATGCTGCGTTTTCACTCGGGATGCAGGCACCCTACGGGGGCTTTTACATATTTTAAGGAAATATGTGTTTTCAAATCCTTGATGCTGTGAGGGCTGGAATCCCCCTGCTGGGAGGACAGGCTGGGAGGGTTGGGGGTGTTCAGCCTGGAGAAGAGAAGGCGAAAAAGGGGAGAGCTCAGAGCCCCTTGCAGTGCCTAAAGGGGCTCCAGGAAAGCTGGGGAGGAACTTTTTCCAAGGGCATGTAGTGATAGGATGAGGGGCAATGGCTTCAAACTGGAGGAAGGGAGATTTAGATTAGATATTAGGGAGAAGTTTTTTGCTATGGGGGTGGTGAGCCCCTGGGGCAGGTTGCCCCAAGAAGCTGTGGCTGGCCCATCCCTGGAGGTGTTCAAGGCCAGGTTGGACGGGGCTTGGAGCAACCTGGGCTGGTGGGAGGTGTTCCTGCCCAGGGCAGGGGGATTGGACTAGATAATCAAGGTTTCTTCCAACCTAGACCATTCTATGATTCTATGATCCTTCCACAGGTTTCTCTTAAACATCCTTCATGCTGGGTGGGAGCTCAAGTGAAATGGCAACCTCAAAGAGCCACCTCAGTCCCTGGCCCAGGGACACCTGAGCAATGCTGGAGGATGGAGGCTGTAGACAGATGGGGGTCAGTCTCTTCACCCAAGGAACAGCTGATAGGACAAGAGCAAACAGCCTCAAGTTGCACCATGGGGGGTTTAGGACGGATATTAGGAAAAAATTCTTCACCAAAAGGTTTGCCAAGCATTGGAACAGGCTGCCCAGGGAAGTGGTAGAGTCACCATCCCTGGATGTATATAAAAGATGTGTAGATGTGTTGCTGAGGGACATGGTTTATTGGTGGACTTGGCAGTGCTGGGTTAACAGTTGGACTCGATCTTAAAGGTCTCTTACAACCAAAACGATTCTCTGATTCTCTGATGTTGGACTTGAGAGGGCTTTGGCTCAGCCCTGTCCTCCCTGTGCTCCTGTGAACTTGTCAGGGATGGCAATAGCCACAGATGGGAGCTAGCAGAGAGCCAACGCGTGAAAACCACCCAATATTGCTTAAAGTAAAGGGTCCTCAGAAGCAGGTTGATATGTGTACCTGCTGGGATGGAGCCTGGTGACTTGATGAAGGGATAGAGTGTACCATCAGTGAGTTTGCCGATGACACAGCACTGGGAGGAGTGACTGACACACCAGAAGGCTGTGCCGCCATACAGCGTGACCTGGACAGGCTGGAGAGTTGGATGGAGAAGGAACCTAATGAAGTTCAACAAGGGCAAGTGTAGAGTACTGCATCTGGGGAGGAATAACCCCTGCACCAGTACAGGTCAGGGGCTGACCTGCTGGAGAGCAGCTCTGAGGAAAGGGACCTGGGAGTCCTGGTGGTCAACAGGATGCCCATGAGCCAGCAATGTGCCCTGGTGGCCAAGAAGGCCAATGGCATCCTGGGGGGCATCAAGAAGAGTGTGGCCAGCAGGTCGAGGGAGGTCATCCTCCCCCTCTGCTCTGCCCTGGGGAGGCCACATCTGGAGCGCTGCGTCCAGTTGGGGGCTCCCCGGGTCAAGAAGGACAGGGAACTGCTGGAGAGGGTCCAGCAAAGGGCTACAA